CTGTTTCATGTTGCGGTTTGAAAATCCGATTTTCTCTTTGTGAGAATATATAGTATAATTATCATACAATTATATTATGAAATTATACGTTAATTTGCAACCTAATAGTTTTCCGTTAACAATCGATAGAGAATCGGTAACTAAGTAGCGATTAAGTACTCGTTCGGTTAATTATTCGTCGGTAAGATGCTACTGGTGGCTGCTGTGGTAGGCGTTCTGTCGCTTGCCAAAAATTTTGGATTGGTGGCTAGCTACAATGAAAATTATCTAGGTTGGTTGGTTGATTGATTGAGTGCCTGATTGGTTGGTTGATTGAGAGATTGATTGTTTAATTGATTGAATGACTGATTGGTCAGTTGATTGAGAGACTGATCGGTTAATTCATTGATTGGTTGGTTGGTTAATTGGTTGATTGGTTAATTGGTTGGCTGATTGGTTAATTAGCTAGTTATTTAATTAATTTCATATGATAATTGATTAATTAGTTGAATATAATTTATAATTGATACAAATTATTAAAAACCACTGATTAATTAATTGATTATTTTTAATTAGTTTCAATAGAGTGTATGGTCGGCGTGTTAGTTATTCAGTTGATTGTTTGACTAAAAATAACTTTATTTTTAATTATAATTAATTATAATTATAATTATGATAATAATAATTAGTATTATTATTATTCCAGGATGTTTGTATTTGAATGAGCTATGCTCCTCTCAGTACGAAACATGTGTTGACGGTTAGTTGGAAGAAAAAATTATTCCATTATTTTATTATTATTACACAAACACATACACACACACCACACACACACACACACACACACACACACACATACACACACACCAATACACACACATACAATATTTACAACCACACACAAACAAACCAAAACTTACGCACTTATACAGACACATACATACACAACAACAGCAAACAAATACACACACACACATACCTACGCTCTCTTCACACATACATTCTCACACCCACACGTCCACCACATATTCTTTCACACACACACACACACACATACACACACACACGAACACACATACGCACACACAAACACACACACACAGACGGCCTATTTGGTACATGCCGACTAAACAGCCAGGCTACTAACGTGCCGATCATAAAACTGAACAAGACCCAGGTGCAGCAGTTGAATTACGTCCTACACACGCTTATCGAGAACAGCTACTCCTGGCGCCACAAATTCGCTCAGTGTGTCGTCCAGCACTACGTCTACAGCTACACTGAGCTGGGTCTTCCTCAAGCCGGCGGGCCCGACTGCGTAGGCGACAATAGGGTACTGAAGCTACTAGAGAGCTACCGTAGAAAAAGTAGCAGTGGCAGTTTGAAAGATGATCTAGATGATGTCGGGAGGAGTTATGACGATTTTGTAGTTGGTGGTGGCGGTGGTGGCGGGGATTACTTCATCGGTGGTGGAGGTTACCCTGGCCATTTTCGTGATGGTAATGATTACGATAATGGCGTAGCGGAACTAATTCCTGATAATGATGATGATAATAATAATAATAATGATAATAATGATGATGATGATGATGAAATGATCCACACGAATCGAATCGGATACGGCAACTGGAGGAAAGATGATGACGACAAGAACGGAAACAGATACCAACCTACCCAGCCCCCTCATCCTCCCCGTCATCATCATCACACGACGTCGCTTGACCAAAGCGGTCGGCTGCAAAACTCCATGCTGGTGGAAAACAACGAAATGGTGAGAGAATTCGAAGATGATGAAAAAATCGTCAACCAAGCTGTTGACCGTCTGGACAGTGACGACGTGTTCGCGCTTGGACAGACTCTAATGTTTGGTAATGTCACTGCTGATGACGTTGTTGAAGATGTCATTCGTGTTGTTGTTGAGGGTGTCAGTGGTGAAGTTGTTGATGACGTAATTTATGCCGTTTGGTTAATGTCATTGATGTTTTTGTTGTTGATTGCGTCATTGAGGTTTTTTTTTGTTGTTGCTGTTGTGTCAAAATATAATTGGTTAAAATCAAAGAATAGCAAAGAATAATAATCAAGTGATGTTGTTTATTTAAAAACTAGATAAACAAAGAAACAATAATATGAACAACAACAATGATGGTGAATTATCGCCAGCCACCAAAACTGTTGTCACCATAACCCTTGGCTCTGATGGCGAACATGGTGATGAATAAATTTTCTAGAACAGCATATTTTTTCCTGATTTCGTTTTTTATTTATTTATTTACTGGTTTGTTTATTCATTTATTTATTTATTTATTCAATTTTGTCATTCATTCATTCATCATTTATTCATTTAGTTTTTTCATTGATTTGTTCGTTCGTTCGTTCATTCATTCATTCATTCATTTCCCTTCCAAACATTCATTTTCAGATAAACCGAGTTTCTCAATGGAAGGGTGAACATTTGGATTAATATATAACTGAATGAACGATCGAACGAACGAACGAATGAATGAATGAATGATTGAATGAAAAAATAGATGAATAATTGTATTTATTTAGTCATCCATTTATACATCCATCTCTTTAACTACCATCTTTCCATCCATTTATACACTCTTTCAATTTCCTGATAATCCATTAATTAATTCATTCATTCGATTATCCATTTATTCATTTATTTATTTATTTACCTATCTGTTCATCTATTAATTCATCCATTAATTCATCTAATAATTTATCTACTGATTCAACGAAACATCGAATCGCAGCAACAAAGGTGAACAACACGAAATCAATAGCCTGCTTTCAGAACTGAACGAGTTGACAAAAACAACAACAACATTAGCTACAGCAGCTGAAACATCAACACACAACTACTTCAACAACAACAACTACTACTACAAGCATCAGTTAAACAACATCATCAACGGCAAAATGAACAACAACAACAACAATCGCTTTCTACATATGTTGCAGCATAGTGGCAATAACAATGTACTACCTCCAAACAATCAACTGACCAACATTGGCTAGTAATTTTACTTTTAAGTTTGACATTTAGAATTGAAAAACTTGTAAATTCGTTCATTCCTTCGTTCGTTCATTTGTTCATTTATTCGTTTAGTCATCATCATCATCACAATCGTCATCGTCATCATCATCGTCGTCATCATCATCATTAGTCGTGGACAAAGGCTATTCGAGAGATGGATACGGAAGTCTTAGAAGACTTGATCAACCTTATGAGATCGTAAGAATTCATTCATTCATTCATTCATTCATTCATTCATTCGTTCGTTCGTTCGTTCGTTCGTTCGTTCGTTCGTTCGTTCGTTCGTTCGTTCGTTCGTTCGTTCGTTCGTTCGTTTGTTCATTCATTCAATTTATTCAGTTTTTTATTCGTTCGTTCAATTTATTCAGTTTTTTATTCGTTCGTTCATTTATTCGTACATTCACTCACTCATTCATTTATTTTTTCATTTATTTAGTTATTCATTCATTCATTCGTTCGTTCATTCGTTAGTTAAGATATTCTCTTTTATGTTTATCCATAGAGGAGCCAGTCATGTAAAAACTTTCGTCATTCATCAATAATCCATTATTAACACCCACACACACACATACACACACACATACACACAAACATACACACACTCACACACAAACATATACATAACACCCTAAACAACAATACACAACTAGAGTAAATAAATACAGCTTAATTGCGTAATGGAAACGCGAGTGCACAGATACACATGCACACACACACACACACACACTCACGCACACAAACATACACACAAACATGCATACACATACACATACAAACATACACACACACACACATACACATACAAACACACACACACAAACATACACACACAAACACACACACACAATCACACATACACTCATAAAAATCAATTTTTTTATAAGCACTCGTACGTTACGCCCCATCAGAATGCATTATGCTCTAATCTATAATACAATAATTATGTTTGTTTTAATAATAATAATAATAATAATAATATTATTATTATTATTATTAAGATTTAGTTTGTTTTTGTTGCTTTTTGTTTGTATTTTTATCGCAAACAAACTATTTTTAGAACAAAAGATTTTAAAAAGTAATTTAAAAAAATATTATCATGCACTAAATAATGTATCCCTAACAAACAACACACACGCACGCACGCACGCACACACGCACACACACACACACACACATGTGACACAACACAACGATGTACACAAGTTAAATACTCAAAAGGCAATTAATGGCAAGTAGAA